ACACACACACACACACACACATGTATATATATATATACACACACACATATATATATATGTATATATTTCATTTGCAGCATTATCCTTAAATGATACAGGATCCCTAAGGAAAGAAATTGTGGTCCATTACAGGGAATGCTCTTTCCATAATACAACATTGTAAATGCTGTTAACTGGCTTTTCAGCTTTTAAAATCCAGTTACAGATAAAACAGGGAAAACAAATATGTTTACAGAACAAGAAAGTACATGTAATCAGTCTCAACAATGCACAACCAAACTGGACAGAAACCGAGAGTTGGAAACAGGGTATGGGTAGCCTGGTAGAGGCTGTCATGTTCTTACGTGGTTAAGAAGCCCAGAAGCTGCACAACATTGATGAGTGAGTGAGCTGAGGTTTTCAGTCTTTTACTTAAGTTACAAATTTGGGTAAGTAATAGAATAATATGACAGAAACTTGAAGGACTGGAAACCGGAGGGGAAGTAGTACCAATGGAACAATAGCTTTTCGGGCTAGCAGTCGAAGGAAATAGTGTAAGTATATTACGAGATCACCACAGGAACTCTAGAGAGATGTGATTGAAAGTGGTAACCTCTGGGGAGGCAGGACCCAGGTTTAATGTCATATAAATGATTGTTTTGTTTAAAAGGAATGAGAAAAAAAGTGTCATTGATCAGCAGCAAAATTTGTTCAAAGGAGCAACATGACAATCAGATATCCTGGTGGCTTCTTGCTGTTTAGTTTTAGAAATCTTAGGCAAAGAAGCATTTCAGCGATGAGAAAATACAAAATGTAATTGCAGATATTTTATTACCTGAATGTTAAATGTAGCCTGTAACTGTTCTAAATCTTCCTAAACTTGCCCTTTTACAGGAGAGGAGGGGAGGATTGCTCAGTGCTGGTATAAACTTTTGATTGCCTTTCTCTTTAAGATCTTAGATTTTTTTGAGATAAAAGAAGTGAACTTTTGTAAGGTTCTTCTCAAAGACTTAAGATCCATGGAATAATCTAGAGCTTACTCTAATACAATAGTTAAACTCTTTTCATATGCAAAAATTTCACTTTTTCCACAGAAGAACAATGCTATCACTGAAAAGCAACATTTATTGTATATTAGGGTGAGACATACCCATTTCCAAGGTCCGGGTAACCAGGCCCTGGGATCGCATCCCACAAGGTTGTGTGGATGTTGCAGGTTCTGGCCAGGATACGAACCCTGGAGGGGGTGGGGGACGCAGCCAGGCAATGCCGTGTGTCTGCGGCACCATCCTGTGGTTGTGATGCTGTATTAGAGCGTGTTTTTGTTTCTTCTCTCTAGGAAGGCCCTTTTGTCTACTTGTCTTTAGTAGGAAACGTTGCAAATTCCGATGGCTTGATAGCTTCTTTATGTAAGTAATTAAAAACATTTGCATTTGAAATGTTGGAGGAGGTTTATTGCAAGTGTGACTGTCAAATGCTTCTATCACATATTGTATGATGTCATTTATATGAAATGTTCAGAATCGTGAATCTGTAGAGACATTGTAGCTTACTGGTTGCCTGGGAATGAGCGTAGGGGTGGGGGTTTTGGGGGAAAAGGAGGAGTGACTGTTAATGGGCATGGATTTCTTTTTGGGGGTAATGAAATGTTCTAAAATTAGATTATGATGATTCAAACCTGTGACTATACTAAAACCAATTATTTAAATATGTAGATTGTGTGGCATGTGAATTACATCTCAGTAAGCTGTATGTTAAAAAATACTTGAGTCTGGGCAACATAGCAAGACCCTATCTCTAAAAATTTTTTTTAAATGAGCCCACCGTGGTGGTGCATACCTGTAGTCCCAGCTACTCAGGAGGCTGAGGTGGGGGAAAGTTTTGAGCCCAGGAGTTTAAGGCTGCATTGAGCCACAGTTGCACCACTGCACTCCAGCCGAGGCAACAGAGCAAGACTCCATCTCTAAGAAACAATTCATATCATTCTCCGTCCAGTTTTGTTAAAAAAAAAAAAAATACATAAAATAAAAAATGTTTGTAGTGAGTGCAAATGGAAGAGTTTGTGGCATTTAAACTGGGTGCTTTTTCCATACTTTTAATATCGTTTCTTTTTGTTGTACATATATATTTGTGGTCTTGTAGATCATTTCCAGAAGTCTTCATGCTCATTGTCAATCAACCAATATTCAATCAATTAGCATCGATGTCCTCCCATGTACTGTGTCAATATCAACAAGTACCTTTGCCACTTTATAAAACTGCCTTGCTCAGGATAACTGCTTTCGGGTTTTGCTTCTGAAACTTTGCGTCATTTATCTCATTTCTTTTGTGACTCCGAAATCCTCTCCAGTTAAGATCTGTGTGGGACTCCTGTTTACCACTAGCATTAGGAAACGTCTAGAGAATTGAGTAGGCTCATCAGTACCTCCCAAAGGAAAGTGTGTCATCTTTGATACCTCAAGTCCTAGCCAAGGAGCCTGAGCCCCATTGACCAGAGTTGAGCTACTTCAGATCCAGGGGCTCAGCTGAATGCAGCAATGCACTTTTGAGCGGCTGCATTAAACTCTGCTTGGGGATTGCTAGTGAAGCCCAGAGGTTGAAAACCCCAGCCTGAGTCATGGCTCCTCCCTGCTGAGTGTCCTCTTCTCCCCTTTGCCAGACACTCTGCTGACACCTCCTTCCCTGGTTTCCCTGCCTGGCATGAGAGAAAGCAAACAGCCCAGATTTGGCTCAATCCCATGAAATGCAAATGTCTAACAGTCTTTCTCCATCCTCTTCACATTTACATTACATACCTTAAAGAAGTGAGAACTAGCTGGATGCAGCGGCGTGAGCCTGGAGTCCCACCTCCTTGGAGGCTGAGGCAGGAGGATTGTTTGAACTCAGGAGTTTGAGTTCAGCCAGGGCAATACAGTAAGACCCAATCTCTAAAATCAAAACACAGTAAAAACTCATTTAATGAAGGTGTCCTTTATTTTCATGAAAGTAAAAATCCAGTAGATAATGTAAAGCAAGTAGTACGTCCCAGACTCCAAAGTGCACAGAATCACCTGGGAATCTTACTCAAATGCAGATTCTGATTCTGCGGGTCTAGGACAGGACCTCCTGAGGATGACCTGTGTTCTGTCCTTGGCTTCACCAGGATGCGGGGCCGGCCATAAACTTCATGAAGACTCAGCGTCTCTTAATCTCTACGCCCTAGTCAAGAACACAGCAGTGGCTCTGGTAGAGGAAATCTAGCCTGACCCTTAGTTTGCATCACTTCCCTGTAAACCTCACCGAAGCCCAGTTGTCAGTCACAGAATCATGGAAATGATCACATCATCAGGCTTTTAATGCTCCTGTTTGCCATTTTATTGTTTCAGTGTTTAATAAGCAAACAAATGATAAAAGTTTAGCAGCAGAGGAGATGCCAGAGGCTTGATGGGACGGGTGGATTCCAGGGCCCCTTAACTAACCATCCGCTACCTTCCTCTCGGGCATTAACCTTCCCACACCGTCAGCAGTGCTAAACTGTCTGGAGATTCAGACACACTACGTTCTCTCAGCTACAGACTTCTGCACATGCTTCTTCCTGAAACAACCTTATTTTCCACCCAGATTTGAAGTTCCTTTTGTGGTATAAGGCCTGAAATTAGAATTCAGTATTATGTCTAGTTTTTTTTTTTTTTTTTTTTTTTTTTTTTTTTTTTTTAGAACAGAGTCTTGCTCTGTCTCCCAGGCTGGAGTGCAGTGGCATGATCTTGGCTCACCACAACTTTCGCATCCCGGGTTCAAGCGATTCTCCTGCCTCAGCCTCCCAAGTAGCTGGAACTACAGGTGTGCACCACTGTACCTGGCTAATTTTTGTATTTTTAATAGAGACAGGGTTTCATCATGTTGGCCAAGCTAGTCTTGAACTCCTGACCTCAAGTGATCCACCCGCCTCAGCCTTTCAAAATGCTGGGATTACAGGCATGAGACACTGAGCCCAGCCAGGATTCAGTATTATGTTTGGTTTTATATCTGGTAAGATCCAGGGGGCCTCAAATGGCCAAGCTGCAAGTCTCTCTCCCCACTCTGCTTCCACATATAAGGTTCCCTAACCAGACAGCCCTCCCAATCAAAGGGAGCAGGCACAGTGCCTGCCTGTCTCTCAGTGGCAGGCCCCAGTTCCTGCAGTCGGCCCGTGGAATTAGCCAAACAAGCCAATCATTCTCTCGGGAACCAGGGCTCAACCCAGCCCATCCTCTTGTTACTGCAAGGCTTGCCTCCATGGCTGGTGCCCCATCACTGTTCCCAGGTCCCATTTGGCCCTGCATGGCAAGATGTTCTCCTTCCCTAGGCCATGAGTATATATGACTAATAAATCTCCATCCTTCTCATTTGCCCAGTGTTGGGTGTTGTAGGTTCAGCCATCACCATAACCCTCAGGCAGGAATCCATCCCTCACCAACAGGACAGAGAGGCAGTGATCAAAACACCTCCTCTGGGAAGTCTTCCCTGAAGTTCCTAGTCTGGCTTCAGTGTCACTTCTTCCCTGTCTTCATATTCTCTAACCACCGCTTACTGTCTGATTTTCAGCCTCACTAGAATGTGGGGCACTAAGGGTCAACGTGGTCCTACTTGCGGCTGCATTCTCAGAGCCTGAGATTGCTAAAAAATTTGGAAGATTGCCTTCCAAATGCTAAAAAAATAAAAATTAAAAATTAAAAAAAAAAAAAGACTTGTTGAAGTCTGGGCATGGTGGCTCACGCCTGTAATCCCAGCTTTTTGGGAGGCTGAGGTGGATGGATCACTTGAGGTCAGGAGTTCAAGACCAGCCTAGCCAACATGGTGAAACCCCATTTCTACTAAAAATACAAAAATTATGCCAGGCGCAGCGGTTCCAACCTGTAATCCCAGCACTTTGGGAGGCTAAGGCAGGCAGATCACCTGAGGTCAGGAGTTTGAGGCCAGCCTGACCAACATGGTGAAACCCCATCTCTACTAAAAATACAAAATTAATTGGGCATGGTGGCACATACCTGTAATTCCAGTTACTTAGGAGGCTGAGGCAGGAGAATCGCTTGAACCTGGGAGGCAGAGATTGCGTCAAGCCAAGATCTGGCCATTGCACTCCATCCTGGGCAATAAAGTAAAACTCCGTCTCAATCAATCAATCAATATTAGCTGGGTGTGGTGGCAGGTACCTGTAGTCCCAGCTGCTCAGGAGGCTGAAGCTGGAGAATCGCTTGAATCTGGGAGGCAGAGGTTGCAGTGAGCTGAGATTGTGCCATTGCACTCCAGGCTGGGCAACAGTAAGATTCCGTCTCAAAAGAAACTTGGTCAATATCTTAACACCCATTAATCTTTTTGTTCCTAAAGAACTAACATTTTACTTAAGTGATATTGTATTAGGTTTAGTTGCACTAACTGGTACATTTCACCTATTGTATGTGTATTCAAATTTAGGGGAGAAACCTTTCCTTTCACTATGACACTGTTTTCCAGTTAGTACAGTTACTGAAAGGCACAGGAGACTGCTGTCGGCTAAGGACAGGCTGATGACTCTCAGTGGGCTCTCACAGAACACCCCCTCAGCATGTGCCTTGTGTGTTATCCCATTAAATAATCCTCTTACTGTCCTTTCTCTCAGGACAGCCTTTCGTTAGAAACCTTTTTCCCTGGCCTGAAGGGATCCTTCCTCTGGCTTTGATGAGACATGAGCCCTGTGCTGCTCACTAGCGTGTCGTGGGGCTCCTCTGCGGCCATCACACCTTTTCCGAGTAATCCAAGACAGTATTAAAGGGGAGAAGAGGTGAGGACTTCCATTTTTTTTCACTGTAATTATTTGAGATCTTAGGACAAGTGTGTATTACTTTTACAAATTAAAAAAGTAGTTAAATGATTTTTAATGGCCTCCACAGTGCCTGGCCATCATTCCAGCCCTAAAAACACTTTCTGAATCATGGTTCTCCCTAGAAGAAACCATTCTGATAATGGCTGTGGAAGGATCTCTGATAGTACCCTGGCTCCCCAAGCAACACAGCTGAGACTGTGTGAGGGCCATTGTGAGTCCCCTGTCCCTGTGGGTGGAGACACTCCTCTGCCCACTGCGATTCATTCTGCAGTCGGGCTCTCTCCTCCCCTCCCTGCCTGTGTCCCTTCAGCACCCAGTTTCTCTTCTGTTATTAACAAATGTGTTGTTGTTGTTGTGTCGTGATGGAGTCTCGCTCTGTTGCCCACTGGAGTGCACTGGCACAATCTCGGCTCACTGCAACCTCCGCCTTCTGGGTTCAAGCGATTTTCTTGCCTCAGCCTCCCAAGTAGCTGGGATTACAGGCATGCGCCACCATACCCAGCTAATGTTTGTATTTTTCGTAGAGACAGGGTTTCACCATGTTGGCCGGGCTGGCCTCAAACTCCTGACCTCAAGTGATCCGCCCACCTTGGCCTCCCAAAGTGCTGGGATTACAGGCATGAGCCACCGCACCCGGCCAATAAATGTGCGTTTCATAAACATGTCCTTCATAACAAATTTCCCACATCTCCATTATACTTACAGAATTTATATTGAAATTTTGAAGGAAGGAATTACAATGTATTTATCAAGATCATTACTGGAGATTGTCTTTGCAAAATCTGACCATATTGAATTCTGTTAAAATTCTACTACTTACGTTGAAGAGGGTGGGGCTGAGGAGGGTGCATATGTGAAGGCACGTTGGAAACTGAATGATTGGACGCATGTAACCTGCTGCTGGTCTTAGTGCTTGTATCAGGTAGTAAACGCATGTTGGTCCCAGGGTTTCTCCTGCCTTCCACTAAGGCATCATGAAGAATCCAGAGAGAGTGGCGATTATTCATCTTATCTCCAGCTTAAAGGAAAAAAGGTCATTTCCATGGACTGTCATAAAAATGGTTGCCATTTGAGTAACAACATGGATTTTGTCTTTAGGGAAGGAATATGGCAGAGCTGATGCGAGATGGCTTTATTTCGATCCAACCATTGTGTCTGTGGAAATTCTGACTGTCGCCCTGGATGGGTCTCTGGCGTTGTTCCTCATTTATGCCGTAGTCAAAGAGAAATATTACCGGTAGGTGCCCTTCTTCCGTCCTGCTGGAAGGAGGGGAAACATTAGGTCTCCCAACACTTAAGTGACCTTTGGAGTAGGTTGTGACCACATATATTTGTTAGATAAAAGGTAGAATAGAGGCCGGGTGCGGTGGCTCACGCCTGTAATCCCAGCACTTTGGGAGGCTGAGGCGGGAGGATCACTTGATCCCAGGAGTTTGAGACCAGCTTAGGCAACACAGTGAGGCTGTGTCTCTACAAGGAATCAAAACTTTAAAAATTAGGTGTGGTGGCATGTGCCTGTAGTCTCAGATACTCAGGAGACAGAAGTGGGAGGATCACTTGAGCCTGGGAGGTCAAGTCTCCAGTGAGCCATGATCATACCACTGGCACTCCAACCTGGGCGACATAGTGAGACTCTGTGTCCAAAATAAAAAGCAGAATAGAAATGAAAATTATTTGATATGAGATATGGGTGGCAGTGCTTTTAGGATCATTTCAGACTTTTCAGAATAAAAAATAGGAGAAATATTATTTTAGTAACAACCTAGACTCTGTAGAGGCAAGAACGGCGCTAACGCTTTTGGATAATTTGCTGCCGACACTTTGAGAATAAAAGGGGAACAACGTCCATCTTTTCGCCCCCAAATCACTCAGGAAAACTCCTTTTTCACTTGACACGAAGTAAATTATCTTACATAATTTGGAGTCAGACTTGCAAGATAAATGAGAAATCTTCTCAGAAGCAGATTGTGGAGGGTATGTGGTGGGCAGAGTGCAGAGAGGCCGGGTGCGGTGGCTTACACCTGTAATCCTACACTTTGGGAGGCCCTAGTGGGCAGATCATGAGGCCAGAAGTTCAAGACTAGCCTGGCCAACATGGTGAAATCCGTCTCTACTCAAAATACAAAAATTAGCTAGCCGGGTATGGTGGCAGGTGCCTGTAGTCCCAGCTACGTGGGAGGCTGAGGCAGGAGAATTGCTTGAAACTGGGAGGTGGAGGTTGCAGTGAGCCAAGATCGAGCCACTGCATTCCAGCCTGAGCAACACAGCGAGACTCCCCCTCAAAAAAAAAAAAAAAAAAGAAAGATAAAAAATTATCGATCCTATCACTCAGGCTCTGAGAGACTATTAAACTCTCCTCCCTTCCTTCCTTTTCTTTCCTTAGGGACAAAGTGGCCTGGGGTGAATAGATTGCTATCCTGAGATGATCCTAAAACAATGTCAAGTAGGCACAGCTGCATGCAATTTCCCACCATCTTATAATGAAGAAGTCTTCTTTAAAGCTTCCTTCCCCACCCAATTTTAGAGAGTTAGCAATAAAAATTCAATTTTTCCTTGGTACTTTGACATATTTTTCACTCCGTGACCTTGGTTGCAAACTTAATACATGTGCTCATGTGTTTATTATTTGAAACATTTGTAATATTTGCATTGTTGAGCATTTACTTGCCCAGGGCTTGGCCCTTTATCCTCATTATCTCCTTTCTTCTGTGCTACACTGTTTGAGAAAGGGGTTACTATTCACTCTCCCCTTATATAATGGCTTTTGGTGAGGATCACAGTCAGGCCTCTCTGTGCTAAGTCAGATGTGACCTCACAAAATTTTCCTAAGAATGGGTCAGGGTACATACAGCCCTGAGGGTTCTTATTTAACTCTGAATAATCTTCTAGAAAGGGCAGTGTTATTCGTCTAAGGAAAGAATTGAGCCTTCATTAATTAGATTGACTTGCCCCCATCAAAATAGCACCACCCCGACACCTGAGGCCCAACTTCAGAGCAGTTTTCCGTAGCGAAGACTATTGATGCTGCCATTACAGCCAAGATGTCACGACTCACGATGCCACGCTGTGCCAAGTTGGTGGTTCATCCCGGGCTTCTTTCTCTCCAACAGGCATTTCCTGCAGATCACCCTGTGCGTGTGTGAGCTGTATGGCTGCTGGATGACCTTCCTCCCAGAGTGGCTCACCAGGAGCCCCAACCTCAACACCAGCAACTGGCTCTACTGTTGGGTTTACCTGTCTTTTTTTAATGGTGTGTGGGTTCTGATCCCAGGACTGCTACTTTGGCAGTCATGGGTAGAACTCAACAAAATGCATCAGAAAGAAACCAGTTCAGTGAAAAAGTTTCAGTGAATTTTCAAAACCATAAACACTATGCTCTGACTTTTTGAGCCAGAATGAATCAAATGTTTTTGTTTGCCCAAAATGTAATACATTCCAGTCTACGCTTTCTTTTTGTATTTTTGCTCCTGAACAACCTGTTTCAAATTGGTTTTAAGGCGACCCGTTTTCATTGTGGTGGTGGTGTCCAATTAAATGGGGAGATGGGGAAAAGAGAACAAGTCAAACTTACAATAATAACACACTTAATTATACATTTTATGTCTGGCATTAATTGTTCCACAATAGTAAAACCAATTGTCTTAGAATACTCTAGTGTTACATTAATTTTTTATTCCAAAGGACATGCTCTTCCCTCATCTTTTAATCCTCTCACTAGCCTTTTTTGGTTACCAGTGTGAAACCAGAAATGAATTGAAAGATTCTGTTTTTATATTTATACTGTTAAAAATTTGTGAACCCAACAAAACATAATAGGAGCTGGTGAGTGGGCTGACTCCTCTTGAGTAAATGGGTAGACGCCGGGGGCCCACATAGACAAATGATTGATTTATGTCTGTCCTTTTTCAAGGAGGAAGATTGGAGATGCCTTGCAGAAATACATAATACTTGATGATAAAAAGTAAATCAGGAAATAGGAACACAGGGAAAGTGAGAGTGAGAAATAATAAGATGAGTATAAAATAAATATGCAAAATGCATGCCCTAACCTTCTACAGAATTGAGAGAAGGAAAGCACCAATTAGGCACTTACCGCTCAGCACCAAGAGGGAGACGTGATTACCCTCATTTGGGCAATGGACTTAGCAGTTCTGTGGTGGCTGAGGAGCGGGTAGTTTAACTTGTTCAATCCTCGCCTGTCTTACTGAACTCTCAGCTCACAGAGCTGATCTCTGCCTTGCCCAGCACATAGACCAGGCCGTTGGTATGTTGTGGCGGACGCTGTAGCTCTGATAGTTCAGTCTGTGTTCCACTCCCTTCTAGGCTGGCTTCCTACCATGCAGAAGGTCCCAGATGCCAAATTAATTTTACCTTTCGGAAGTACTTGAGATTTGGAGAGTGAAAATATAGAGGCCATTTTCTACTATTTCCTTTCTTTCTCTCTGTCTCTCTCTCTCCTGTCTTCCTCTCTCCCTTTCTCTTCCTCTCTCCCCCCACCACTCCCACACCCACTCTCTCTCCTTCTCCCTCTTTTCTGTTTTGTGCAGACAAGTAAGGTGATGGAAACGTGAGAGTTTGGCATTAGTATACCAAGTGTCCAACTCCCTGGGTGTCAAGAGGCAGTCATGGCTGGGCAGTAGGAATAAAGGGTCGGTACGCTGAGTAGCCTTAGTAGTGGCCTCATTGGTAGTGCTGCCCTTGGGGGTGGTCCATTCTGTGGTCATCCCATAGTCATCTCCAGATCTTAGCTAAGCATCTATATCCTGTAACCCAGCAATTTGACTCCTAGGTATGTACCTCCCAGAAATGCTTAATATATGCACCAAAATGGCAGCATTATTCATAATAGCCCCAGACTGGGAACAATCTAAATGAATAAGTTATGGTATATATATAAATGGATTACTGTACAGCAATGAAAACTAACAACCAGCTGGGCATGATGGTTCATGCCTGCAATCCCAATGCTTTGGAAGACCAAGGCGGGAGAATCACTTGAGCCCAGTAGTTCAAGGCTAGCCTTGAGCAACATAGTGAAACCCTCACTCCACAGATGAAAAAAAAATTAGATTTGGCAGTGCTTGTAGTCCTAGCTACTCAGGAGGCTGAGGTGAGCCTCCTGAAGTCAAGGCTACAGTGAGCCGTGATTGCACCACTGTAGTCCAGCCGGGAAGACAGAGCAAGACCCTGTCTCAAAAGAAAAAAGAAAACAAACAACTTTCTGCTACGCATAACAGCATGGAGGAATTTCGCAGACATAATGAGGAGCAAAAGGAGCCAGACCAAAAGAATCTGTATTCTGTGATTCTATTCATGTAAAGTTTAAAAACAGATAAAACTAATCGATGGTGTTAGAAATCAGGATGGCCGGGCACAATGGCTCATGCCTGTAATCTCAGCACTTTGGGGAGGGTGAGGTGGGAGGATTGCTTGAGTCCAGGAGTTCAAGGCCAGCCTAGGCAATATAATGACATGTTGTCTCTACAAAAAACAAAAATGAAAAATCAAGAAATCCAGATGGAAATTGCCTTTGGGGGACAAGATGGGTGCAGTGATAGGGAGAAGTCACAAGGAGCTTCTGAGATCCTAGTAAGGCTCTGTTTTTTTCACTTAGGGTAGTTATAATTTGTGCTAATTCATTTTGCTGCACATTTATAAATTGTGTACTTTTCTGTCTATTTGTTATACTTCTGTTTATTTATTTTGAGACAGGGTCTCCATCACTGGAGTGGAGTGGCAGGATCATGGCTCACTGCAGCCTTGACCTCTCAAACTCAAGTGATCTTCCCACCTCAACCTCTCAAGCAGCTGGGACTATAGACATGGACCACATCCAGCTAATTTTTAAATTTTTAATAGAAACAAGGTCTCACTGTGTTGCTCAGGGTATATTTTATTTTATTTTTGTTCATAATATCATTTTATTTGATAATGTATTCAGTCAGATTTCGTGGTTCATTATCAGTAGGTATTCTTTTCTTCCCCGTGGGCTAAACTCAGACTGATGTGTTTTAACCATAGTCAGAAACCTTTGTGAGGAAGTGAGTTTTGCATCACCTGATATGGTTTGGCTCTGTATCCCCACCCAGGTCCCATGTTGAATTATAATTCCCATTGTTGGAGGATGGGCCTGGCGGGAGGCAGCTGGATCATGAGGGTGGTCTCTCATGGTTTGGCACCGTCCCCCAGTGCTGTCCCGAGATAGAGTTCTCACAAGATCTGTTGTAAAGTGTGTAGCACCGTCCCCTTCGCTGTCTTCCTCTTGTTCCAGCCATGTAGGACGTCCCGGCTTCCCCTTTGCCCTCTGCCATGATTGTAAGTTTTCCTAAGAGCTTTCTCCATGCTTCCTATACAGCCTGCGGAACTGTGAACCAATTAAACCTCTTTTCTTACAAATTACCCAGTATCAGGTAGTTCTGTGTAGCAATGTGAAGATGGACTAATACATCATCCATGCACAACTTTTATGATCATAAGAACTGCATTAAGAAAAACACCTTCCTATTTAATTTTGTGCACATTTATGGGATACATGAAAAAATGTGCTGCATGTATGTAACAAGTAGTGATAATATCCTCCATTTTTAAAAGTTTTTTGTTTTGTTTTGTTTTTAAATTTCTGGTATGAAGACCTGAAAAATGTCTCCGGTGGTCCTCATCAAGACCCATTGCTGTGTCCTTGACAGCAGATTCAGGACAACTCGGGCTGTTTCTAACGGCCTCCCTGGTGTGAGCCAGCCGTGCGCTAGCAGGAGCATCTGTGGCGGCCTTCCCATGAGGGATTACCCAGCATGGTCCCAGCACTTTGCTCTCTGCTGATCTGGCTCAATCCAAGGGTAAACAGAGTAGAGCAAAATGGATGGGCTGCCGATCCTGCCGGCAGTACTGCAAGCATGATTTCTCTCCATTGAGTTTTTGCTGAGTATTGAATGGGAGAGAAATGGGGATTAGACTCTGACAGGAACTTGGAGTACAGATCCATTCTGCTGCCAAGTAAGGACATATCTAAATGGCTTCACAATTAAGTGAGCTGGGAGGAGGGTTAGTGTCCTGTGTAGCAGTTAAGGAGCCATAGGCACTGTGAGTAGAATCCTGTCACGCCCTGACACAGAGAGGTGGGAGCAAGTGGACCGAGGGAATGCTGTAGTTTGTTGATCCTAAGGTGGTATTATTCCCACATTTTAACATTTTTTAAATTAGGATGCATTTTACAGTTTATGTGTCATAGTTGGCAGTGGCTTTTTCTTTTTCTTTTGAGACAGGGTCTCACTTTGTTGCCCAGGCTGAAGTGCAGTGGCCTGATCTTGGTTCACTGCAACCTCCACCTCCCAGGTTCAGGTGATCCTCCCACCTCATCCTCCAGAGTTGCTGGGACCACAGGTGCACACCATCACACCCAGCTAATTTTTGTATTTTTGGTTTTTGTTTTTGTTTTTTAAAAAAAGACTGGGTTTTGCCATATTGAAGCTGGTCTCAAACTCCTGGGCTCAAGCAATCTGCCCGCCTCAGCCTCCCAAAGTGTGGAATTACAGGTGTGAGCCACCACACCCTGCCATTTTTTTCTTACCGAAGTACAGTACATCTTAGGCTTGACCGCATCTTAGATGCAACAAACTAGACACTGCCTCAATATTGTTTCCCTCTTCAATATCCCCAGCTACTTGATAAACAGTTGGGATTTCTTTTTCTCTTCTCTTTTTTTTTTTTTTT